TACAAATCGACGATAATAGGTGGCGAGCCCCAAAAATGATCTGATCTCCGTCAGATTCCTTGGCCGTGGCCACTCCACTACGGCGCGTACCTTCTCCGGATCGGTGCGCACGCCTGCCTCGCTGACGCGATGCCCGAGGTACCCCACCTCGCGTTGTGCGATGTAACACTTACGTGGCTTGAGCTTGAGATGAGCCGCTCGCAGTCGCTGGAACACCTCTCGAAGCCTGGACCAATGCTCAGACAAAGATCTACTGAACACTATCACATCGTCCAAGTAAATCAGGCACTGTTCCCACTGCAAGCCCCGCATCACCAACTCCATCAACCGCTGGAACGTCGCGGGCGCGTTAGTGAGTCCGAACGGCAACACTCGAAACTCAAACAGGCCCATCGGGGTGGTGAATGCTGTTTTTGGCCGATCCTCCTCCGTCATCTCCACCTGCCAGTAACCGGACGCCAGATCGAGGGTGGAAAAATACCGCGCTCCTGCGAGACTGTCGAAGGTGTCGTCGATGCGAGGTATGGGGAAGGCATCGCCGAGCGTGACTGCGTTTAGTTTACGGTAATCGACGCAGAACCGGGTTGACCCATCCTTTTTCGTTACTAGTACCACCGGGGCTGACCAGGGGCTCGCCGAGGGCTGAATTATGTTATCGCGAAGCATGTCCCCAACTGCCTCTTTGATTTGGGCGCGTTCGGGTGCGCCCACTCGGTACGCAGGGAGTTTGATGGGTCGGGCTGCACCGGTGTCAATTTGATGCTTAACAAGGTCGGTCCGACCCACGTCCGAGTCGTGTTCGCTGAACACGTCGGCATACTCCCGCAGTAACTCGCGCAGCCGATCGGCCTCTCCCTTAGGTAAGTCCGCCCATGGTACATGTAACGCGTCGAGCAGGGGAACGACCTCGGCTCGGGGAGTCGGGCCGACTCGCCAGGCCAGGTCCTGCTCACCCTCAGGACGACCGGGGTCCTCAGCCCAGAGTGCGAACACCGAGTCGTTAGAGTGGCGTGCGTGCAGGGGGTGTACTGTGGCTATCGGGGTGCGCCGTCGCAGTATCGCGGGGGTATTGTGGGGGTTAAACATCCGCATAAACAATCGGTCCCCATCTGCGTTTACCAACGTGGCGGATCCCACAACCCCATACCGTTTTGCCAACTCCGGGTGAGGAGTTAGCATTACCTCCCCTGATGGTCGGAGCGCGGGGTCGGTGGGGGATGTTGCCACCGGCACCAGCATCTCGGTGAGCGGGCCGATGGTGACTGCCGTCGCCAGGATAGCGGCCACAGGTGCAAAGCGGCGGCGCATTGGTTCTCGTCCCAGGAACGGTATCCGCTCGCCGTTGCTCTCCATGGTGGCGCATCGCTGGCGGGGTTGCACGTTGAGTCCCAACCGTTCTAGGAGGTCGGTGCCTGCGATACACTCGTGACACAACGCACTCGACACGTAGAACTCCTGCGTGCACACCTGGCTGCCTATGCGGACCTCTAGGGTGGCTTTCCCCAGCAGCCCCATTCCGGCTCCGCTCGCAGTGTGCAGCGCGCGGTCCGGGGCCTGCAGGTGACGCACGTCGACCCCGATCGCGCTGCAGTGCGCTGCGCTCACGAGCGAGGCCACCGCCCCCGTGTCCAGTAGGATGCGGGTACGCACTCCGTTTACCTCCCCTTCCACCAGCGACGTGGCCCCCGTGATCCCCGCCACCAGCTCCCGCAGCCAGTCGCCAGGAGTCACCGTTTCTGTGGGCGTTGTTGCTGGAACCTGTGTGGAGATCACTCGCTCGCCATTATTCTCATTATCGTCTATCTGTATCGGGACCGCGTCGATTGCACCCCTAGTTGGTCCGCTCTCTAGGGGGCGTTGGAGTTTAACCCCCGTGTCTGTCTAGCTCGGGTGATTTCCGGACAATCCCTCACTAGATGCCCTCGGCGATCGCACATATAACATGCCCGGGGAGGGGGGGCGGCTCCGTAGCGGGTCCCCTGTCCGCTCCCTCTCCCAGTACGCAGTTGTCCCAAATCGGCCTCTAATTGGGACACCCTCCCGGCTAGTCCCCCTACTGTCGAGCGTAGTTCACCCATCTCAGACTGGAGGGTCTTCATATTTTTATTTGCGTCCTCGCGTACCTGGTTTACCTGGCCGGAGACATCCTTTATACCCGTTTGTATACCGGCAACCCATCCCGGGGTTGTCTCGCGGGACACTGGAGGCTCTCTTTCCCGGCCCCTTACCTTCCTCGCGAGCTCCTGTTCCTCCTCCTCGTCTTCCGAGAGCAGGCTCGCAATGGCGCGCTCTCGTCCCAGCCCCCGGAGCTGCGCGCGTTCGCTGTGAATTCTTTCACACTTACGTGCGCGCTCGACAAGGGTGTTAAAGGGAAGACGTGGGCAGCTCATGTCTGGCTGCCACCACGCCGTGCGAGACAGGTACCGCTGGATTTTCTCGGCGGCCAGTTCCTCAATAACATCAGTTGCGTACCCCGGGCGTGCGATCTTTATTAACTCGCGCACATCCTCGGCGTAATCACGTAGATCTTCGCCAGGTTGGCGCCGGCGCGCCTCTAAGGCCGATTTTGCTTCCTCCTCGTCACGCGTGCCAAAGCGCTGATCGAGTCGGTGCATCAGCTCCTCTAGCTGTGTCTGTGCGCTCGCGGGTAACGCTTCTACAAAATCGGCTGCCCGCCCATCAAGATTCATATTAAGTTGACGTACTGCCTGCGCGTCCGTCCATCCATTAATTTCCTTGGCCCCTAAGAGATTGCGGGCGAATGCCTTCCACGAAGGGGCCCCCCGGCCGGTAAATATTAGTCTTATTTTAGCGTGAGGTAACGCGGGGGTCCGTACCGCTTCCGACACCAATTTGTGGGGGTCGCTAGCCCCCGAAATCCCTCCCTCGATAATGCTAACGGCCGGGCTAGCATCATCAATCGCCCCCCCGCTGCTAAGCGAACCGCTGCTAAGTTCCTCACCCATGGTGTGGGAGCCGTCGCCCGAGGGTTCCACTCCACCGCGGGTCCGCGTAGCAGGCATGGTTAATTACGTACGCGCACACCCACACACACAGCTCTGTACGGCACTCACTCTTGCGCTTCTCTGCGCCGCGCTGGCCGCTCACGTTACAATCGCGCACCTGGGGTACGCCGATTACGCACGCCGCGAGCTTACGCACACACAGTACCACACGCGTCCCCACACGCAACCCGCGCGCTCAGCTCCGCGCAGCGCTCACTCACGTGGCGAACCACTGTGCACACAGCGCCCCCACACGCTCACACTGCACGACAAGATCACGCGAGACCACGCTTCGCTATTAATGATTTATTATATGCCACCTGCGAATTGATGTTGAATCAGTGAGTCGACGAGGCTGGCCTATTCCACTAAACCTGTACCTATTCCCTATTTATCGGCTATGATTCTAATTCCCCTTCTTACTCACTGTTAAGTGTCCACGGCGGTCCGCTGATCCTTGTGTTAACCGCGTGCCTCGGTGCGTCGCACGGACGTTCGGGTCGCTGGCTCGAGCTGCGTCTGGTCGCCTGGCGCTGGAGTAAGAGAGCGATTTCCCCTCTGCGCTCCTCTATTTATCCTCCCTACCTCCAAAGGGGATGCTGCGCTGAACAATGGGCTCGTGCACCCCAAGCCCGCGCACGGCAGTCCCCAGGCGCTGTTGATATGCTAATCAGTGTGCTGCGTGCAAGGCGTAAATCCTAATTACTCCCTTACCCTTCCTAACAATGGGGCTTGCGCGCTCAAGCGCAATTATCCCAACCCTCCATGACTATGCGCAACAGCCCCTGTGACCCCGCTATTCATGCTGTCCCGTGCCTCCCCTGCTTGCCCCGTCGACTCGTGGGGGTGTGTGTGGGGGGAAATGCGCCTCAACCGCGGTGGCCGAATGCCCCACGCCGCGACCATACCATATTAAGGCCGGCAGCAGCGCCGCGGTACCACGTAGCACGGGGGAGGTCATCCAATTCCCTGATCGCCGGAAACCGTGAGAATTAATCCCGATAAGGGTCTCTCGGATAAAAACCGGTCGATCGGGTAACCTTCCCTTCCAGCTCTATGGGGGGGGGGGGGGGGGGGATGCGTGCGGGTGTGTGCTTATGTGGGGCGGGTGATTGGGGGCAGTGCGGTGGGGGAAGCCGGGCGGCTCCCTGGCTCGGCAGAGCGGCCCCGTCGCTGTGGCACCACACAGTCACGAAAGGAAAAGGCCTCTTTCAGGATGCCTTTTCCGATGCCCTGGAAAGGGCGTTGTATAAATTCTCAACAGAATAGGATAATCACGTCAATAAAACCAAAACGTTTAATTCGGATGTGGAGTTAACTAAAATATGTGACGATCAAGACGTATTGTGATGCTTTTTTTTAAATGTCACGACACTGGAGAAAGGTTGATACCATGAACTCACCATGCGTCTGCTCTGATCGGAAGCCAAGATCTCGGCAGCAGTGGCTCAGTTCTCTGTTGCCCCAAGCCACCGAGGCGACTTCCAGGATTCAGTGTGTAACCTAATTGAACATTTTGCTTATAAACCATTGCGGTACAAGTTGTACCCTGCCACTCAGTGTTGGGAGGCCGCCACGGTGTAAAAAGGTACAAAATGTTTCATGTATTCCGATCTGCCATTTGGGACGTTTCATTGAGTGTATTTTGACACTCGTCAAAGAGTTTCGACGCCTAACAAAGTCAAAGGTAACCCTTGAGATTTGAAGCAAAGATTCATACTCTTAGGTTTTTTTTCGGTAAAATCACGTAGGTAAAATAATAAAAATAAAATAAAAAATGAAAATAACTCAATTAAATCACGATGTTTCGGAGGCAACATAAGTCTCCGTCTGAGTTATTTTTATTTATTATTTTATTATTATTTTTACCTACGTGCTTTAACGAAAAAACCTTTACTGCTGTACCAGTGAATGCGTTTCTCATGAATTCGATCAGCTACACGTTCCCTGGAAGTGGAAGTTAAGACGGAAGCATTACAAAACACATCATCCCATAGATTTTTATTGATGAAATGAACCAATGTTTAACAAAACAATCCCAGCATGTTTTTTTTTTATTGCCAAGCAATATTAAACAAAAAAATGATTGAAAATCTAAATGTTATTGTTTCACAGTATCACTTGGCTTATGGAGTTTTGATAGCTTATGTGGAGTTTTAGATTTAAAATACCATGCTCATTATATAAAGTGAAAAAAATAACCTGAATCATTCCAATAGTCCTGTACAGCAAAGTAGAGGCTTCTTAATAGAATCACCAGCAGTAAGAAGAAAACCTCTTCCGTGAAGACTCGTTCTTGAGATTTGAACCACCACTTTCACATTTGTATAAAATCACGGGGGAGGGAATGGTGTCAGCGGTTAGCGAACTGTGCCCTGAGCAAATTTCACGGAGTTCGATTCCCAGTCACGGATAACAGTGCGGCGTGATATACCATTCCTGAGCCCCCCCTTCGCCAAAGCCGCACTGGTCAAACAAGCGCAATTCTTAACAGGATAGGAGGTGCTTTCATCCAACAGTGGATAGACAAAAGGGCTGTAAAGAAAATAATATGAATGAAAAATAGAAAAATTAATCAAAAGCAAAATTTTGTATCCACCCTATTGGGGTGTTATTTGTGTTGTGACGCAAGGCGCGGTTATTGCCGAGTGTCGATGAAGCTCAATTTGGCCTAGTGGCTCAGTAACAACGCAGGACGAACGGACGGGAAAGACGAACAGACGGAACGTACCAACTCAACGACGCCGTCAATGTCCGCCACATTGCACGCAAGAGTCCGTCGTCTAAAATCGGCGAGCCAACCCTGTTACAAGAGGGGCTGATCTCTCCCGTCACACGCACTGGCAGCACGTGGGCTTGGGGCTGCACTGTGGGTTGCAGCAGGGCTCTAGCTTAGGGTCTATTCCGCGATCCATCTGGCTCGGCCCCCACGTCATGTCGAGCTGGAACTTGTCGCGCAGACGGTCTATGTCCTCCGCCACAGGCTTCAGGTCGGGGAGGCTGGTGTTCAGCTCGACGCGTTCAGACACGTCCCAGCCCAGGTGAAAGAGAAGCGGCGGACTGTGTTTCTTGCACCCAGCGGCAATCCCGCAGTCGTGATCCGGGGTAAGAGCACTGGCACCCGCTCCTGTAGAAAGCAGGGGGAAGGGGTGGGGAGTGTATGAGGATATGACTATTTGATAAAATAACAGGGTGGATGGAAGAAACGTGAGTCCTCCATCAGTAAAATTAAAGTGGCGATGGTGGTGGTCCCTACCTTCTGTGAAATAGTGGGCTTTGTAATAGTTGTGTCGGACTGCAAACACCCCCTGATCACTGGTCGGTGACGATGTGAAGTAGAACATCGACTTCCGAGGGCTCTGTGGAAAACACATCGGATGCACTTGTGTCATTAAAGTTGGTAAAGCAGTGGTGACCCTACACAGGCTCTGATGCCATATACCCATGACTAGTGGGAACGATGCTCGCTCGGTTCGGGAAGTGGACTCGTAGGCTCAGCCTGGGTTCCCATGGCAGCCGTATCGGGCCAACCCGGAACCAAGAGGGCTCAGGAACCAGGCCCAAGGGTTCCCTTTCTTCGGGGAGCCACAGGCCCATGCTGGGACCCTGTCCAGGGCATCACGTGGTCCGTGTGGAAAAAGGATGCACATGAAATGGCGTCCCTCATTTAACTGCACTTCAGCGCCTTGTTTTGGTTTTCAACACGCCAGAAAATAACAAAAATAACAATACACTTTCGGTGAGGCTAATCATACCTAAGCCATTAATTTGTTACGTGTCATTAACAAAATATAATTAAACAGTATTTCCCCCTGGCGATCGAGGACAGGATGGGGTGGGGGGCTGGCGGTGGGAACGGAGCAGGAGGGGCACGGCCGAGATCCTTGGAGCTGACGAAGCGCTGCTGATCCTGCAATGGATCTGGGCTTGCTATTGGATCACCAAGCCCGCTATTCTATTCTTGTACATGGCAGTATCTTCTTTGTTCTTTCGGTAAAGTCACGTAGAAGGGAAGTAATAAAATAATAAAAATAAAACATAATAAAATAAAATAATTCTCACGACGTTTCGGCTACAACGCAAGCAGCCGTCTTCAGGTGAAGAATGAGACACTACCAAGCTAGGCGCTTATATATAAGCTGGGTTGGAGGTGGAAGAGCGCCTTAACAAAAAGAATGTGCATATGAAGAGGAATTTAGCATATTCATGGGAAATGCGTAGGAGGTGGGTGGGGGGGTTTCATAGTCATATTATGCCCATGCATTATGCAGGATCAACAGCACCAAGGGGGGGGGTGCAGGGAGTAGCATTAACAAAGGAAAGGAATGTTAATAGTATGTAGCTGCAGTTACTAAACAACCACGTAGAAAACTAAAGTATAAACTACATAAAAAAACTAAAGTATAAACTGCATAGCACCATCAGTATACTTACTATGGCAGTATGTTCAGAAGCTAAATGCCAATGTCGAGGTCGACTACCCATGAGAGGGTTTCAAGAAAGAGTCTGTCTAGTTTTGCTATTCCTCCTCCATTGAAGGAGTACACACGACAGTGGTTTACTATACGGTCCGTATTTTAGATTGCATGACCACAATCACATGACACTGTGGCTTGCCTTTGATTTTACATTCATGAAGGAGATGTGTGCTTCAGCCTGTTGATGTTCTGATGTGGCTCATAGTTACAATCAGTGTCTTCAAGGAATGTCACAGACAGGAGGTGCGATTTTTGGGTCTCAAAGAAGGTGGTTAATCCGGAAGTAAGCGTTGTTTCACTCCGTTCGTCAGCGTTCTTCCCGATCTGGGCGAGATTCTAGGACGGTCGGTTTAACACGCAGGCTTTCGAGACCTTTTGTGTAATATGGATTCTGGGATGGCGATAGCGTGATCCAGAAAGGGGATCAGGACTTCATTTGGCACTGAGGTCTTGGTTGATGGGTAGGTTGTCATTGACAAGGAAACATGTAAACTCCCTTACAGTTTCCATGTCTGCAGATATTTGGTGGCCGAATGTTAGCCAGAATAGGGAGCCAGGGGATTGGTGTCAGTTTCAGTGTTGAAGTTTTGACGTGCATTACGTTATTTAATTATGTTTGAGAATGCAGTTTTTTTGTACGAGACCAGGCTGGAGCGCAATTCTCTGCCGCCGAGTAGATATCAGTGATAGGGTGGCAGTTTACAGCACATCTGCTGAGGCGCCTCAAGTCATTCCTTCAAGTTTACAAAGTGGCCGTGGAAATACTGCAAGAAAACACTAGGAGCCAGATGGGCATCTTGACAAAAAAAAACGCGTAAACACATCACCTTGGAAATTTGTCCAAATTGTGATGGGTACAAGCCTGATGTATCTCCCAATAAAGCCTTATAAAATACATAACTTATACTGGTAGGAACGAAGTGGACCAGACCACCAATAGATTATATCGTCCATCCGTCCGTCCGCGTTTGTCCGTCCGCCCGTCCGCGTTTGTCCGTCCGTCCGTCCGTGTATCAACATCGCCCCCTACTGCAAACACTTGGCATGACCCTGTCCGACAAGATGGCCGCCCGCTCCCCCTGCCATCACGGCAAAACTTTAAACTTCGCTTCAAAATTACTTTACAACAACAAACTTGCACCATCGCTACAGCTGCCGCGACGAGAGATGTGGGAGAAGCGGCGACCGCTGCCTTGCAGGTGAGAGGTGCGCGCGTGTGTGTGCGTGCGTGTGTGTGCGTGTGTGCGTGCGTGTGCGTGTGTATGTGTGTGCGTGTGTATGCGCGTGTGTGTGCGTGTCTGTGTGTGTGCGTGCGTGTATATGTGTGACTGTGTGCGTGTGTGTGCGTGCGTGCGTGTGTGCGTGTCCGGCCCACTCGAGCGGCGTGATGAATGGGCGCTATTGGGCTTCGGATCGTTATTCACGGCGAACTGGAAGCGTAGCAACACAACTTCATTGCGTGTACGTGTGTGTGTGCGTGTGTGTGTGTTGCGTGCGGTGTGTGTGCGTGTGTGTGTGTGCGCGTGTGTGTGTGCGTGTGTACGTTTATGCGCGTGTGTGCGTGTGTGTGCGGTCGATATCCCTGTACCGGTATTAGTATTATTCCTACCAGCCCACCCCGCAGGGTCCTGTTAAACCTTCACTGTGCTTCGTATTGTGTAGCTTGTTCAGTAATTAAGAGGACATTTAACATGAGGTAGGATGTGTACATTTGCATGAATCCCTAACCTTCTGCTACAGCAGAGGGCGACTCAAACTCCAGCATATTATTAAACATTTAGTATGAAAATCTCCAGCCCTTCGTCAATGCACTGTTTGATGAGGGTCGAGGGCATCCCCACACTGTGCAGGTCGTGACGATTGTTTCACCATACCTCGCCACGCTGGATAACGCAAGTTGGTAAAGATGGAGAGCTTACACGTTGGTTGGACAAGAATGGAATTTTCCACACCACTCTCTACTGCCCATGACGTAGCCGCCCACCTGCCCCGCACTGCGGTCGTGCCCATTGCGAGCGATACAGTGACGGGCAATCGCTTTGAACGTTATCGTCAGACGAGGCTTCAGCCGAACACACTCCCTAACCTTGGCGCCGTTGAAGAGGAGGGGCCCGATGTCGTAGCCGTCCAGTGGGACGGCTGGCAGCTTGGCGCCCGTGACCGCAGCGATGGTGGGAAGCAGGTCCAGCGTGCTGGCCAGTTCGTGAGTCACGCCTGCCGGCGAGGGCACACGGCAACCGCACAACGGTACGCCGCTTATCATCGCGGGGCAGATTTCCTTCTACTTAGAACTCAGGTGGTACCGTTGGCGGCGAGCACAGAAAGCTGCGGTGGCCGACGTACTGCGATTAAAACGAATTCCGAACGCAAGGCGTATTCACGTGGCAAATATATCACTGAACTTTAAGGTTGTTTTAGCGATGGTACACGTGGGCCATCGCTTAAGGTACAACTGAAAGGTCAGCTCTTATATTTTGGACGCATTCCTAGCTTGCGTGTCCCGTGCCATCTGAAAAATATTCTCAGCTTTGTTCATAAGAGAGTAAAAAACTTTAAGGCTACGGACAAGGGCGTCATTATGGCACTCTAGTGCCATCACATTCATACAATTTCAAACATCCATGTCGTGACCACTGCAGCCCTATGTTGGAGCATCTGGCAGTGATTTTTTAGGTTTCCTGATATCACCCAGGAGAAATTAGTTATGCAAGGAAAATTTGAAGGAGCTCGAACTCGCTCTGAAATGAAATGGCTGGATGATGGAGTAAAGGATATCAGCAAAAAAAAAACCCTGAAAGCACTTAAGAAGAAATGCCGAGACTGAGAAACTAATCTGGCAGAGTAATCACAAAAATTCGACAACGACCTCCAGACAACGTCAACTTCACTATGGTGTTGAAAAGCCTGGAACACAGCATCTGGAAGATACAAAAGGTTTGCCCCTTTTTGGCTTGTCGTCTTCTTTCAAGTGATTTACTCATTGATAATCCAGGGACCGTGTAACGAGTGCAAAGGTTGCGCGTGAAGCATGTAAAGCCATAGTACGCACCCGGAGTGATCTTGCCCGGCCAGTATGCAATGGCTGGAACCCGCAAACCTCCCTCGTACGTTGTGGCCTTCCCGCACTTGAGTGGCCCAGCATTCCCTCCTCGGTTCATGCGCTTGAGCTCCGGACTTCAAAGCGGAACGAACATAAAACATTTGAGTCAACAAAAGCGAGCGTAAAGCTGTAACGCAAACTGTCGGCATGGGTGTTAGGTGTGCACGAGAGGTTTTTTTGTCGTTGCCTTTATTCAGGTCATAAAAGGGTAGGAGGACTTTGAGCGGCGGTGGCCATCAAGGCAGAGGTCGCAATCGGGTACCCGATACCCGTACCCTACCCGATACCCGGCTACCCATACCCGGCCGGGTACGGGTACCCGTTTGCGACCCTGGTGCGGCCGAGTACGGGTAGGCCGTGAGTCACTGGTGAGTAACCGTTTGTCACTCATTTCCCAACGTCTTGTCTCTTCTCACAATTCAAGTTCCTAGAATCAACCCAGCCGCGCCTGCAACATGGCTTCATCCCAGAGGTCGCAATCGGGTACCCGATACCCGTACCCGGCCGGGTACGGGTAGGGTACGGGTACGGCCGGGTACGGGTACGGGTACCCGTTTGCGACCCTGGTGCGGCCGGGTATGGGTACGTTTGCGGCCTCTGCATCAAGGGAAGCGGGATGTTGCGCATTGCCAACCCGTTGTCGCTGGTGAACAATAACAAGGTGTTGTCTTCCACTCCGGCCTGCTCCAGGGCCTTCAGAAGCATTCCCACCGAGTGATCAAACTCCAACAAGGCATCTCCAAATGGACCTCGCTCACTCCTCCTGGCAAAGTTCTTGCTGGAAAACTGCGGGTAGTGTGTGTGCTGGAAGAGGAGAGCGAATGTGCAAAATGAGAAACAAGAAATGCGATTCAAAAATTCAGTCGGTTATGATGGTGCCGTCCTAAAATACGAACGCGTTAATAATAACATTTCGTGGAACAGTGGCACATAAATTATGAGTGCTGTGTTATAAACCCAGCAACCGGAGTTCAAGTCCAGATTAGGCAATTATCAGTGATATCGGAACCGGTTCTGGCCACTCCACTCCCCTCTTTCACCAAAATTGCACTGACCAGCATGGTGAAGTATGGTCAAATGACCTCCATAACAGACATGGCGTTGGGAGGCCTTTATCCTGCAGTGGATTCGCAAAAGGATGTAGGTTATTACTGAACAAATAACAAAATAAAGAGGTGGTTAAGTGGCCCATAGGCTGTATTGCTAAGGCAGCACAACTGAGATCCTGGGTACAGAGGCATGGTAGCCCACTTGTGATTAAACCGGGTTCTCTCATGCTGCGTCTAAGTATGGTTAACAATTACCACACAATAACGTGTCTTTACACTTCATTTGACCAAATTCCAGGTGAAATGGTCTCACAGCAGTGTATGGCAACAGTGCAGACACTACTACTGTGTAAAGGGTACAAATCTCTCCTTCAACACACGGGATGATATGCTGCTGTGCGAGACTTCCAAATGGATTATTTATCTCTTTACATGATGACCATTGCACAATACAAATTTGGAAAAATTTTAAAAATTATTTTCCAAATACGTAAGATATAATTTGTATTAACAGCCAGGCAGCGTGCTTTAGAGCTGTGCAGTCACTCACGTGGGAGGCATAGTAGAGGAAGAAGGGCTTTCCATCTGCGGCCTGCTTGTGAATGAATTTCTCTGCCCAAGTGATATAATCGGGCACAAGTGTCGTGAAATCCACGGGCTGGCGCAAAATCCGCTCGCCCTCGAACAGCGGCAGGAGGACAGAGCCTTGATCGCACCGGCCGTAGCATGGCACGTCTGGAGGGAAGCACGTCAGGTTCTGGCAAGGACCCTGGTCGTGCGAGTAGGGGACGCCCAGGAACTCGTCAAAGCCATGACGGGTGGGCAGGTACGTGCCGTTGGCACCCAGGCCCAGGTGCCACTTGCCCACCATGCCAGTGGCATAGCCCTGCAGCTTGAGCATCTTGGCTATGGTGGTCTCGTTGAGGGGCAGCCCTCCCACAGAGCCAGGGTAGAACACCCCCGGGAAGACGCCCGATCTCGTGGCGTAGCGACCAGTAAGCAGGCCTGCCCTAAGGGTGCACAACGGACGGGCAAACCGTGGTTATGCTGCGTTTTCCGGTTGTACCGCATGTTTTCGGCATTACATCTGACGTTTCGTTCAATGTGGTGGTATCTTCTTCAGATTTTTCATGGGGGTGGGGTGGGGGTCAGCAAAACTTCAATAGGGGGGTGGTTTGGGTGCAAATACATGAAATGGAATATAAATAACATCGCCTAAGCACTCATACTTTGTATATCCTTTGCTTACAAATTATATTTAATTAATGCATCCTTTCTAAAGAAGACGTGGATAAACATCTTATCGACATGAACAACATACAGTTTGTGATATGATGATGCTACTACAATTAAAATAGTAAGAGTAATATCATGATTATAATCCGATATCCCACAATAAAAACCTCTCCCCTGGATCTCCTACCAGCCGGTACCTTCAAGCATTTTGCTGACGCATTTGTAATAATGGTTCATCATGTTGTTGCTACCTCTTTCTCGTCCAGTCTTTTCCCTATGTTACTTCAATTGGACCAAGTGACACCCTGTCCTCAAGAAATATGGCTCTGACCCGGAGGCCCTGCCCGATTACGAACTAATGCCCGATTACAAACTCTTTGAGCGCCTGGCCAATGTCAGAATCAAATATCACTTTATTCGATGCCTCAACTTCTACCCCCTTCAGTCTTCCTACCAGAGGCAAACTCTGGTTTCGACATACCGTGTCTCATCAGCAGAGTCACAATGAAGGAGACAAGTGGCCGCAGCTCCATTAATTTGTAATGTATACTCTCCACAATTAATCATAATATTCATTGACGCTGGAGGAATCCGATGAGCTATAAAGCTCGTTTGTGGTGGTTATAATGATGGCATGGTGGCGATGCTGATGTCTAAGGGCAACCACCACCACCACCACCGCAGGCTGCTGCTCACCTGGACGGACTACAGACGGCAGCCGAGCTGTAGAAGTCTGTGAAGCGAAGCCCCAGCGTTGCCAGGCGGTCCAGGTTGGGCGTGAGGGAGCTGGGGTGCCCGTAGCATCCCAGGTCTCCGAATCCCAAGTCATCGGCGAACATAATAACCACGTTGGGCGGTGAAACCGAGAGGACGGGCCGAGGGAAGACCCATGTGGCCATCAACAGCGGCAGCATCGCCGCAAGAGCAGCGGTGCGTCTGCTCTTGTCCATCGTCCAGCTCCTGCTGCCTTCTTAATGACCACTTCGTAAAGCAGAGCCTGCAGAGGCACAGGAGAGATCGGTTACGTATACACACGTACTGCTGCTGTATTACGTCTCGCTTTCAGCGGCGCAATTGAAGCGACATCTTAATCGCCACTGAACAGCAATTATTGCGTTTGGTTCACCGACTAAACGGAAGCAACAGGCCGTGTTAAATGCAACTTGTGTTGCTTTAATTGTTGACAGCGGGACACCCAGAAATGGGTGAATTATTGACGAACATTGAGTGTTTGTTCCAGCTGCCTCTCTCGCGCACACGTGGTGCCCCCTAAAGGTGGAAGTGCAGCACTTACTCCGAAGCGTTGCAGATTCTAAAGCCTCAACTCGATTTTGTCGAGAGGTTTTTTACAAACAATTGTTGGGTTTCCCGAAAAGGACATTTTGTCCAAAGGGGCCGTCCATAAATGACGTCACGCGATTTAGAACGATTTTTGACCCCCCCCCCCTTTCGTCACACGGCGTCACAAAAAGTCAGACCCCCCCCCCTCAAATATGACGTCACAAAACTCTGCCCCCCCCCTCCCCAAAAATAAAACATGCTTCAAATCGCTTTAAACTATTGTTATTGTAGTGCGTATGTAATGTGGCGCTACACTCTGATGTTGTAGGAGAAAGCATTTATTTAAAAGTCTATGTAATTAAGTAGAACGTGTTGTCTATATTCATTTTAAGTTGCGCATTTTGATGTGACGTCACATTTCTCAACCCCCCCCCCCCTCGTCACACATCGTCACAAATGTCTGACCCCCCCCCCCCGAGGTGCGTGACGTCATTTATGGACTACCCCAAAAAGATCGAGTGGCAAATGTAACGATTGACTGCGCTTAGTAGGCCACGATTCCAGCTGTAAGCATGAGTGCAGATGTATCGGTTTTCATAGCTGTCAACCCATACGATTTATCCATAACAGAAGTTTTTTGGGTTAGATCGCGTAATTAGCCAACTAGTAAGGCTTGTCACGCCAACTCGTTACTAGTACAGCACTACACCGGTGTGTTGGAGAGTAAACCCACAACATTTACAATTCGAGGACGACGTTTCGCCAGTAATTGCAACCAGCATCATCAGGCGACAGCCAGATTTGTGGAGAAATCCTCGTGTTTCGTTCCTTAAATAGAGGGGGGATAGATGTGATGGCATCTCTTGTGAGCCATTCTTGTGTGAAGGCCAGATTGGGGGAAGAGGGGGGTTAATGAATGTATATAAATTACAATGGTTAGCCATTACCACGCGGTTTACCACGTATTCTTGTACAGGGAAATTGGGTTTTCAGGTCCGTACGGCGTACAGCCATTTCAATACGGGCAAACATGATTTTCTATTTGTGTTTCTCCCTTGTGATGGGACGTAACGTTGAGATTAATTAAAAGGGGCACGGGGTGAACCGATAAATTCTGAATTGGTCTGTAATAAGTTTGGCACTTGTAAGGGGTTGACAGGTATGAATATGTCTCAGTAAATTGTCCAGCGACATGATTCGACAACGTATTTATTCCAGGTATTTGCAACATCGTTGAACTGAAGCTTCGCATCTTTAATTGCAACCAGCATCATCAGGCGACAGCCAGATGTGTAGAGAAATCTGCCTGTCACGTAAATAGCCAACTTACCAGGCACTGCACAGTGAAACGAACGCATACATTCTAGATTTGAAGCTTTCGTGACTGCAAGGATTCATAGTCTTGGGTTTTTTCGGTAAAGTCACGTAGGTAAAAAAATTATAATAAACAGAAATAAAAAACATAGAAATCAAATATACAAATTATTTCTGAAGACTCTGCCTTCTCGACAGACCTGTTCTCCACCTGAAGACGGCTGCTTGCGTTGTGGCCGAAACGTCGTGAGAATTATTTTATGTTTTATTTTTATTATTTTATTACTTCCCTTCTACGTGACTTTACCGAAAGAACGAAGAAGATGAATCCCTTCAGTCACGAAAGCTTTAAATCGAAATTTATTAATATTTATTTTTATTATTTTTTACCTACGTGACTTTACCGAAAAAACCTAAAAGTATGAACGCATACATCTTGAACACAAACCCGGCACCGCGTAAATAACAACTTACCAAAGCATCACACTTTGTAAACGTAAACAAAATCCATCACGTTGCAATTAGCGCGTGTGTATTCCCATGCACATCAGCAGCACTGCTCTCATCTAATCACTGCACATCTCCATATCGCTGTATATCTGTGTTTCACGTAAACCAATAAGTTTAAAGAAAGAACGCGACTTTCTCTTCGTGAACCGAACCCAACCACGGCGCTTGTGCCAGGCTAGGTGCACCTTAAGGGCCACGCGAAAGTGTCGAAGGCCCCCTCCGGCAGGGTCACGGGGCGACAGAACAAATGGGGTTGACTGACCCGAGATGACCCGCCGATGGCAACCCTCACCGTGCCAACTTGCTGCGTTTTAAATCCGCCCAGGGCTCCCGCTCGTTCGTTGTGGGCCTCGCTCCTCTGCCCCTGATGTTGCTGCTGCTGTTGTTGTTGTTTATTGTTGTTGTTGTTGGAGGGCGACTGGCCTCCAGACTGCCCCAGTGGCAAGCGTCCTTCACGAGGCCTCCCTCCACGGCCACACAAATAACGCGCGCCCGGCAGCAGCAGCAGCAACAACAATAACCCCGCGTGTTCACACCGCTTCCGTGTCGTCACCACGGTTGTGTGTGTGCAAGGCGGCACTGCAATCGAGCGATCCAATCCTACACCAGCCCCTCTTCCTCCTCCTTCACATCCCCCTCCTACACCCCCCCTCCTCCACATGGGTTGGCTGACTGAGATGACCGGTAGATGCACCACCAGCTGTACCCCCCACTGTGCCAGGCTAGGTGCAGGAGATCTCGGGACAGACTCAGCAGGTGCCATGGGTTGGCTGACTGAGATGACCGGTAGATGCCAAATTGCTGTATTCTAGCCGCCTGGCACTCCGCTCGTTGTTGTGAGCGTCGCTCCTCTGCCCTCCGTTGTTGCTGTAGCACGACTCCCTCCAATTGCCCAGTAGCGTCCTTCACGAGCCTCCTTCATAGAGGTTGATATTGAGACACCGCTGGTACCAGTCATCAGCAAGTCCACTCAGCTCCACATCCTGCCGAACCGCATCAGCTCCATCTCTTCTCCAGCCCGTGTCGTGCCCGTTTAGCCCCCCTCTATGCGGCCAAACAGAAGCTGCTTGGGCATGCGGTGGCTGGGCATTCAAGGATTTGTGAGCTCCTCACACAATCCAGCCTGGTTAAACCCAGGATGGATCGTAGGCAGGCCCAGCCTGAATGTTTGAAACCAGCGAAGATGTTCTGTTAGAGGGGTCCACGTTTCGCAAGCATAGAGAAGGGAGGGCATGGCCGTGGTCGAGAAGACCCGAAGCTTCGTGTGGAGCGACAGACCAGGTAGCTGCCACACAGCATTACGCAGCCGATGAAATATAATGCCGCTCGACTGATTCGGAGCGAGACCTCTGCTGTCCCACACACCCCCACCTCCAACACCGCCACACGCCCCCTACACTCTCCACACCTCCTGCCCACCTCCCATCCCCTTCCCCACCTCCCACCCACCCCACTCTCACACCCCCCCACCTCCCACCCCACCTGCCACTCACACACCTCCCCACTCTCACCCCCATCTCCCACACCTTCCCACACACCCCCACCTCCCACACCGCCACACGCCCCCTACACTACCCACACCTCCCACCTCCCATTCCCTCCCCAACCTCCCCCACCTCCCACCCCACCTCCCACTCCCCTCCCCCACCTCCCACACCTCCCCACTCTCACCCCACCTCCCACATCTTCCCACTCTCACACCTCCCACCACATCTCCCACTCCTCCTCCCCTACCTCCCACACCTCCCCACTCCCCACCTCCCACACCTTACCACTCTCACCCAACCTCCCCCACTCCCACACCCCGCACCCCACCTCCCACCGTGCCCCCATTTCCCCAGCCCTTACCCGGCCACCCACCCCTCGTGGTCAGGGCAACCAAAGGTCCCTTCCAAACACCCTCATCTCAGAATCGGAATTGTTTAGTTATTTATCCTGGAGGAATTGGATGAGTGCTAAAGCTCTTTAAGCACAGATGTCCAATGGGGGCGGGTCATAACGTTACAACAGCAAACAATGAAAAAAACACACACAATAGGATTCCAAAGTACAGGGTGCTTCAACATTTTTTTTTACACTTCTATGGAACTATCGTCTTTATTGAAAAAAAAGAACGGAAATAACACATAAACACGATGACAAATGTATGTTAATAGCTTCAAAAAGTCTCCACTTCGACATCATTGTCAACACATGCATGGAATCTTCTCCAGGTGGTTTCCAGAGCCCGGAGGCACATTTTTTAGTGGTATTGTTGCAAATTCTCGGAAGTGTTTACATTTTTTTGAAGCGCCCTGTATAGGAAAGGTAAACCATATATTGAGCACATGGAGCTGCTCCATTTACGCCACGTGCGCTGCTGTTACAGTGACACCAGCATTGGTTCAAGCGAGCCTGGTTCTCGCCGCTGATAATTAATTATGAGACGTTGAATGTGGAAACCCAGTCCAGAGTTTGCTTGTGTTGCTTAAGCCAATGCTGATGAAATTATGCACTCCATACTAGTCAAGAATGACACCGGGAAACCAACAAAGATAGGAGAAATACTTATATTCTTGGTTCTTTCGGTAAAGTCACGTAGAAGGGAAATAATAAATAATAATTTTTTTACATAATAAGATAAAATTCTCACGACGTTTCGGCCACAACGCAAGCAGCCGTCCTCAGGACCTCAGGACGGCTGCTTGCATTACCGAAAGAACCAAGAATATGATTCCATGCAGCCACGAAAGCTTTAAATCGAAAAGGAGAAAGACTTGTTGAATCGGGGAACAAACTCAGATCGAACTTCATATCGACTGTTAGCAGTGGCGGCTCCTGCAAAATCTCTCAGGGGGGGCAAATGTCTGGATGATTGATAAGGATAAGGTCCACCCATGCAATGGATAAATTAACAGCTTAAGCATGTAAAGGCAACTTCACTTTAATATTAATGAAAAATAAAGTGACTCTTACAATACATCTTGTTTGTTTCTATACTCACTATTAAAACAAACCACTCAAGTTTATTTTATTAAAGATTCCACTAGGTGGCGACAAATTATATTGTTGGATGAAACGTGCTTACGTATGATGACGTAAGCACGTTAGTGCGAGCCCTCCCGGAAGCCATAGAGAATGCATTGGAGCGCCCGCCGTTCGAAAAAAAACCATCTTTGAATGTAAGTCTATGGGGCCACTCGGGGCGATTCTCAGCCGGAGTGAAATCGCCCAAAAAGAGGCGGTACTCCACAGAACGTGACATGACGCTGATTGGACTATATCCAGAGGCACAGTGACGGCTAGCGTGACTCTGTGGTTCAATGACATTGGTGGTGCGTCGCCCAATCGCCCTAATGAAGAAACCGCCTCTGCTCCATACTAGTCAAGAATGACACCGGGAAACCAACAAAGATAGGAGAAATACTTATATTCTTGGTTCTTTCGGTAAAGTCACGTAGAAAGGAAATAATAAAATAATATTTTTTTTTACATAATAAGATAAAATTCTCACGACGTTTCGGCCACAACGCAAGCAGCCGTCCTCAGGACCTCAGGACGGCTGCTTTCATTACCGAAATAACCAAGAATATCATTCCATGCAGCCACGAAAGCTTTAAATCGAAAAGGAGAAAGACTTGTTGAATCGGGGAACAAACTCAGATCGAACTTCATATCGACTGTTAGGGAACGTGAGCTCGTGCAGACGGCATGGGTTGGGGGAGGGAGGGACATCTGTCAAAAAAGAGCTTTCTGGCTCATCGGATTCCTCCAGTGTAAATACATCTTCTGATTCTGAACGATGGTCGAGGCTAGAGATGGAATGAGAGCCAAGGGAGAATGAGTTCGAAATCGGCTCGCGTGGAGGTGCTTGGTGGATTATATTGCATCGCAAGGTGATAAGAGATGGCGACTGCTTGGAAATGCCATTAGTCCAGCAGTGGATTGATCACGGCTGATGATGGCGGTGCTTAGACCCCCCCCCCCTCTCCATCCAACAAGAATACCCGCCATTCCCCACTAAGTGACGGTAACGTCATCGCCTGTGCCAGGCTAGGTGCACTTTGAGGCCACGTGAAGTGTCGAAGCCTCGGGAGGTCACGGGACAGATGCACCAGCTGTGCCACCTTACTGTGCCAACTTGCTCTGTTTTAACCGCCCGGCTGCTGCGCACGTTGTTGTGAGCGTCGCTCCTCTGCCAACCCCCCTCCCCCTTCACCCCCTCCCCCAACCCCTCCCCCAACCCCTCCCCCAACCCCCTCCCCCTTCACCCCCTCCTCCTTCACCCCTCACTTTTCCCCCATCTCCTCCTCCCCCATCTCCCCCTCCCCCAACCCCCTCCCTTTTCCCCCACCCCTTCTCCCTCATTCCCCCACCCATCCTCCCCCATCTCCCCCAAACCCCCTCCCCATTCCCCCACCCCTCCTCCCTCATTCCCCCTCCCCCAACCCCCATCCCCCCTCCCATTTCCTCCACCCCTCCTCCCTCATTCCCCCTCCCCCAACCCCCATCCCCCCTCCCATTTCCTCCACCCCTCCTCCCTCATTCCCCCTCCCCCAACCCCCATCCCCCCCCCCCCCCATTTCCTCCACCCCTCCTCCCTCAATCCCCCTCCCCCAACCCCCATTCCCCCTCCCATTTCCTTCACCCCTCTTCCCCCATCCCCCCAACCCCCCCTTCCCCTTCCCCCACCCCCACCCCTTCCCCCAGCATTTCCCCCAACCCCACTCCTCCCCCATCCCCCCTCCCCCACCCCCATGCAAGATGTCCGCCCCTTTTGCCACATTCCTCCTGCCGCGATTAACCCCCCCCGCCCCGCCCCGCCCCCGCCCATTGTGCAACGCGATTGGCTTAGACGCGACACCGTCCTCGCGCACGCGCACTCGGATGTCGGTTGGGAGCGGGCGGGGGCGGGGCAGGCGGCGGTGTAGGGGGGGGGGCCGCCGTTGCTAGGGGCGACGCGCGGCGGCGGCGAGAAATGGCGGCGATGGAGGCGGACGAGTGCGAGGCGGACGAGCGGGTGAAGATCATCTGCCTGGGCGACAGCGCCGTGGGGAAGTCCAAGTAAAGGCGCCCCTCGCGGCTCAGTCTCTCGCCGTTCGGAATTGTGTTGTGTTTTTTTTTAAAATGAGAGATTTGGGGCATTGGAGAGAGGGATGCTTAGGAGCGGTGGCGCTGTGATTAGCGCGGTGCGCTGCGTTGCACGAATCCGGGTTCTCGTATTCCCCGAGCGCTGATAACGGCAGTGGCGAGTGGATTTTGAATGTTTTCTGCGACTAATCGTGATCGGTTCGGTGTTGAATGGGTGCTTATCATGTGCGGTGTGCTGGACATACCGATTCCTCGTGTACCCGGCGTTGGCCTAAACTATCCCTTCGATGTGGGCCCCTGCATTTGTCTGGGATCTGTGGAATATTTTCTGGCTGTGTAACAACGTATTGCTACGATTCAACTCTTAATTGCTGGATGAGGTCGTGGGAGTTGCCTGAACGTATCAACCACGCTGGGTTGGCGAAAGTGGGTGGTGATGTTAACTGTGTCAGGGCAACGAGCTATGGTCCGCTGGGTTCTGAGTGCAGTGCTACTCATCACTGCACCACATGAACAATATGAAGCCTATATTTTGATTTAAAGATTACGTGACTGCAGGGATTCATATTCTTGGTTCTTTCGGTAAAGTCACGTAGAAGGGAAATTATAAAATAATAACTATAAAACAATAAAAATTCTCACGACCTTTCGACTGCAACACAAGCAACCATCATCAGGTGTGAAATCCACAGCAAGAAATTTAGATTTTTTCATTCTAATTTTTTATTGCTGTGGATTTCACACCTGATGATGATTGCTTGTGTTGCAGTCGAAACGTCGTGAGAATTTTTTTATGTTTTATATTTTTATTATTTCCCTTCTACGTGACTTTACCGAAAGAACCAAGAATAGAATATGAAGCCTATTCAATGAAATCCTACGGGGGTGAGGGGGGGGTGCGAGATTCAGCTTTTGATTATTTGTGAATAAATGTGGCTGAATTTCAAGCAGAAAAAGGATGGGGGCTGTGAGTTAGGAGGTAAAGGACAGAAAAGGGAAATAATAAGGCTACTTCGTCAAGAGACAAAGGCGGAGTCGTTTTGTGATAAAAGTATTGAGCGTTTACTGGAACGTGGAAAGGTCTCGGCAGTGCCGATGGCCAGAGAAAATGCATTCCAGACAAAAGGGGCAGCACAAGAGAAGAAGCGGCCTTGTGTTGAATGGAGGTTGACGAATGGTTCAGCAGAGGACCTTGGTTGCTGGAGCAGGGGGCATGTAGAGGAGAATGAAGTAGATTAGTCGGGAGACATAGGCTTTGCTGAATACACAGAGGATCTAATAGTGCGAGGGGGATCTTGTAAGCTTGGGTTGAACTGGATGCCAGTTGACTGGTTGGCGCAGTGGTAAGATTTATCTCATCGAAGTATGAAGGTTGCGAGTAAAACAATCCAGGGGCCATTTCAGAAAGTTAGATTTTTCTAATAATGCAAGGGCGGGTTACTGAGGTTTTTTATTAAACTGGCCACAGGTTTGATGGTGGTTTACTGAGCCCTTAAGTTGACAAAGAGTGATAAAATGAGTATTAGTTTGTGAGGCATCAACAGTGTGGTTGTCATGGAGAGATCCACCCCTGTCATAGGAATGTAACATTTTCACCACCGGTGTAAAATGCCCTGCAGGTCGACTGGGAATTAAAAGTGTTAATCGCTGCAATGTGGGGGCACACGTGGACGCGTATAGTATTTTCATGTAAATATCAAATAAATATTTCCACAATAGCCGTTTTCTTAACTCTGTGATAGAGTTTATATGGAGACGTGATAAAAATAACACTGCTCAGATGCCCAAATTACATGAAGCCAAAACAGGTGAACGCAAAGGATTGCTGCAGGTAAGGATGTGGTGGTGGAGAGGGGACAAAAAGGATTGAGAATGACTGAAGAAAAAATAAGTGGGGAAGCTGCACAAGACACAATCATGTTACGCGATTCAAACATTTGACATTTGTATAGGGTCATTGTACTTACATGTTTATGAGTACAACGGGTGTCACTGTGATTGATTTATTGATTTCCTTTATTTAACCAAGTGAGCTCATTGAGATTCATGGCATTATGTTTGTGCTAAAAAGCTTATTTAAACGACGTTAATAATGAAGCATTGTAATATATTTTCTTGCATTAAAACGTGTGTTATATCTGTGTTGTTTTTCAGGTTGGTGGAGAGATTTTTAATAGACGGCTAGTATCCTTTGAATTACTTTAGCAGTGTTTATGCGGTCAACTCTATATTTGGAATACTGAACTCTATGGGCTGATTGACCTGTTGATAAATGGACTTTTATGATTTGTGTAAAAAAAATACCCGTGTTTCTATTTGCAATAATTTTAAAGTATTTAAACTATTTTGGTACTTTAGTCAAGGTATTGATCTTACCCTGTCTGCTTAATGATATCATATGGAGTCTTGTAAAGGGTGTCCTCGAAATACCGGCCTTATGAAGAGCTATAAAGTGCCCCGGTATTGCTTTACTCAACAAAACGCTATTTCCGTGAATACCACTTATGCACATTTCCGGTCTGTAATATTATTTCTGGTGCTTTTTTTACATGATACAAATATACAATTCTAAATATAAGGAAGGTAGGTGATAGAAAACAACACTGAAACCACCAAAAATCACAGGCCAATTCTGGAATGCACATTCGAATGCTACAATCTTACTACCTTAAAACTGGGACTGTCAGCATTGCTTTTATTCAAATTTTGTAGATTTTAGGTGACCCAAAAAACGTATATGCAGGACACGATATATCTACCCAAGTTATTTCTAGGACGCACTGTTTCAACTCCAGTATTTACAAAAGTATTACTCATCAACTTGTGTTGAAAAATGAATTCGACATCATTATGCATGTTTTTAATGAACAATCATTTTAATCGCCTTAACAGTTTGATTTCAGTCAACCTCAGCAGCTGTCCACCTATGCGTTAACATTATACAAATACAAGGCTACAGTCGATGATAAAACCGTGTTAGTAGGTGAGTCAGTAGTCAGACAACCCACTTGGTCTGCAGCCATACCGTGAATTTTACATTTTAATATGTGCGCCCATGTACAGATGTATTATTGCAGCACATAGCCACCCGTCCGTTTTGAAATCACGTTTCGGTGCATGTGTATTGTGTTGTGATTGTTTTACATTTGGAACATCGTCTTTACAGACATCTGGGACACTGCTGGGCAGGAACGGTTTAGCAGCATGCATCCGTCCTACTATCACAAGGCGCATGCTTGTGTAATGGTAAAGTTGTTCCGTGTTTATTTTTACACATTCACATTGGATTTATACAGTTGAGCCTTATATTGTCCAAATTAAACCTTCACGTATCCCACTTACATGCTTCAGCGCTTCACCATCTGTGATCACGATGCTTTTGGACAATTAAGCCAGTCATCTGTAGCCATGCTTATGGTTGGTGTATAATTTAATGCGGGAGTGGTTCTGTGTGATGTTTATGTATTCATGTTTGGTCTTTGTTCAATAGAAGTGTCCAGCTTGAGTGGGTGAGCCTTTGCATAGGCTTTGTGATTGTAAACATCACACCACTGTTTTGTCGACTGCTGGTGTGTGAATGCAGGTGTTTGATGTGCAGAGAAAAATCACGTACAAAAACTTGGCCTCTTGGTACAAAGAGCTGCGTGAGTTCAGGCCTGAGATCCCTTGCGTAATAGTGGCCAACAAAATTGACGGTGAGCAATATGGGTTTCTGCGCACTGCACTGCTTCACGTTAAATGTTTTGAGCTTTCTATCTTCTGCAGCGTGGTGATATGTCGTCTTTATAATTTCGTCCCGTGCAGCCGATTATAAAGTCACGCAGAAGAATTTCAACTTTGCCAAAAAGCAGGGATTGCCATTTTACTTTGTTTCTGCAGCGGATGGAACCAATGTAGTGAAGGTAAGGCATGTGTATTTCAAACATTTGATCTTGAATTAGAATGCTTCTAGACCAACTTAATGTAACTTTCATGTCAAGAAAAGCATGCACATTTATGACTTTTTGCAGTGCTGTTTAGTGTGCCACTCACTGCACGAGTTGTGTTTTTGTGTGTTCAGTTGTTCCGTGATGCCATTAAGCTGGCCGTCTCGTATAAACAGAACAGCAAGGACTTCATGGATGAGGTCATGAGGGAGCTTGAGGTGAGGCTGGAGGACCACTCGTAACGTTTCAATGGTTAACCTGAATAATGCAACTAAACAAATATCCACTTATATCACCGCTTCTGTGAAATCACTGTAAGCGCGAAGTTACACTGCATACGAACAAATGCGTATCCCATCCCTTGTGTTTTACTAAAGGTCCTGTTTTCATATGTGTAAAGGTTAAGTGAGTATTTTTTCCCCGTTTTTAAAATGTCTGTTCACAATCGTGAAAAAATATCACAGGTCCCTGGGGTTAATGTTTTGTATAAGAGGTGGAATAGACTTGAAATGAGGTTTGAAAGCATGATGTACCAATTTTGTCAGTAGGGGGCACGTGTTACATGTGTGTGCCATATGCCTTTGCTGGTAAAAATCTAGAATGTAATCATTTTTCAAATACAGTAGCAGCTTAGCCGACTCATACAAGTGTTATATCAGACAGTGTTTTTGATACGAAATTTAAATGTGGCATAAGAGAATAGGGTTAGCTTTATTATATTCAGAGTATTAAAAGGGGTTGGGTTTTAAATACATTACCCTAGCCATAATTAACACAGATGTTATGTTCTACAGATTTTTGCCAACACTACACTGTATCCAGATGCTCTTCTTGAAACCGTTATTTCCTGAAAACCAGCATCAATGAACCATAACACCTACCTCACAAGTGCCCTGTGTGACCCACAGTCAATTAAAACGACAGCCGCATCCGAATGAAAGTAGACTCAGATCTCAATTGCTGTGCTATGTCATTAACTGGATAACAACTTGAGGAAAGTGATGAAGGCACTTTGATTTTCTGCATTTGGTCAAAGTGAGGACAACTGGCACATCAGAAATTTGATTTTTAAAAAAAAAATATTTAAGAACAAATCACAGCATTTAACAATTAGGAGTTGAATTTAACTTAATTGTTAAATGTTGTGGATTGCTCTTCAACATACAGGTGTGCTGAAGTAAAAACAAATGGTGTGTTTGTTTCACGTGACACCTTTATTTATTTGGCTATGTTCGGTGGCGGATGATGTACGACACACGTGGCATTGCATTTACCTGACCAGAAAATCAGCTTCTGAATCGATACGATCTCCTTTATTGTATTGTCATTTCTTCTGCAGAATTTTGAGCTGGATTCCAAGGGTGTGTCATCAGAAGAAGATGATAATTCGAAGTCTAAGTAGTATAATTTTTTGAAGGGCATAGCTCTGACATTGGTGCAAACGAGCCTTCCTACAAACTTGGGACAAGATCGCTAGACAAGCTGAATGATTTACATCTAAAACATATTTTTAGAATTTTATCTCCTGCTGCTCAAACCAAATGCACCGTGTTGGTTATTCATGTAGTGACTTTCCGTAATGTTTTCATTTCCTGGCAGTTTGTGAAAAAATGCCACGAGTCCTGGGGATTCTTGAAGTGGTTTAAAACCATGTTGTCTCAGTGCAAATATCATGTGTACATTAGTCAAGCACAGGAATTATGTTTTAAAATGTTAAAGTATGTACAGAAACAATTGTGATGTGCCGTGATAGAAAAATATGCATTGTTTGTATTTAATGCAGTTTTAAGTAACGGTGATGAAAAAAAACTGTTGCTTTCTCTATATAACATTCAAATGGTAATTTATGGCAGTATGTAAGTTATTTAACTTTTTAAAAGCAATCCACCAACCGCCAAACATCTAATGCACATTGGTTTGATAATGCACTCCTTGAATACCACTGCTGTAAACAACATTTTTGTTAGAAACCTGTGGATGTTTAAAGGCTATCAAGGTTAGATTGTGTTAAAGCCCGTGTACGATGGCAATGTTGAGATCTAGTCATACAGCCATGTTTGTAAATATAATTATATTTTGTGATTGTAATTTATAGGGAGCCATACCCACTAAATATAATAAATGTTTAATCTGAAATAAGTATGATTTTTTTCACGAGTCAATTGTGTAATTAAACATTTGTATTCCTATTCTTTATTCTGTATAACAAGCAGTATTTAATTCCTGGCCATGGCTAACACCAGCGGTGAGTGATCGCTGAACTCGTCCTAGGCACCCCCTTCACCAACCTGCACTGACCAGTGTGGTGAAGTATGTTCAAGGAACCCTCATGACTGAAAGGCATGGAGATGCCTTCAGTTGGTCGTGGTTTATAAAGGGGTATTCATAATTGTTAATTTATCCAAAACGAATTACAATGGCATTGTATAGGAACTTGAGCATTCAGCAGTGGATTGATCATGGCCGATGATGAATCGTTTGTTGCCATTCGTCTTAAGTTGGATGTTCAGTCACTACCAATTCAACAGCAGATAATTTGCCCGTCATCCACCCAACACAGCAGAGCTCACCAGTGTCAACACCCCAGCGGTTTGAACCCATTTGACCCTCGGAAATATTATTCATAACAGCCATCTACTGATACATCACTATTTCGAAAAATGTTTGTGCTGTATGGAAAAGCATGAGATTGATTAATTAAAAAATGCCTACGTTAGTTAAAATTCTCTTGTAAGAATATACAGAAATCTATTGTACGTGCTTACCATATAATTTTTGGGTGTGTAATAAGCTAGCCTGAGCATTCTTAGCGTTTTCCATTTTTAGCAACTTAACTGTCATTCATTGTTACACCTGAAAACCTATGTATAAGCACTTCGCTTCAATCCAAATGAAGAGTGGAATTATGTCAATGCAATCGCATGCAGTAAAAATGTAAGAAAATAACACGCAATATAACCAGCATTACCTTGCGTGCGCCTATAGTGATAGGAAAGTTAACCCCTGACTCGACAAGCTCACTGCTGAAGGACCTAATTTCCCACGCTTGGATGGAAACAGTATCTTTTTTTAAATGGAAATTTTATGTTCTATTTATTTATCAATCCATTTAATCACTTAATTAAATATTAATTATTCCACACTGGTAAATAGCGAGTGCAGTTGTTCCATCAGCGATATTGTAACTTAAGCAATACAGCGTGCACAGCCATCAGGGCACGTCTATAATACGAGAGAAGTGTCAATATTTTGTCAACCACTCATTTCATAATTGTAATAGCAATGCTCCCTTGTCCAGGAAAGCGTCGATTCACTCTTAGGGCTCTATTTCTGGAGGGTCCAGAAGAAACCGGAGTACCTCGAGGAAACCCATCACGCATGCGAGGGGTGTGACACTCAAGCCATACACAGATTAAAGAATACCTTTCCGTGCTGCCATCTCGCGACCTCTTCGCCCAATCCGATACCACCAGATACTGTATTTCCAGGCAGTTTCCTATCAAACTATCAACCCATCAGGTCAGTTTTGCTTCTGAGATTGGTGTTATCGGGGTGAATTCTCGACCAACAGCGGAGCATATGAAACGCATGGACTCATTATCTCATCCGCTTTAAGGTAAGTCTTTAATTTCCCTAAGACATTATCATCCCACCACCACAAACATGAGTCTTTGCGACTGTGTGCAGTGTTGGGTTTGTGCGCGACGTGGCCAAAATCAGGGGGGAGGGAAAATGCATGCACATCGTTACTACAATTATGATGAAGCTGTGTCAGCGTTGTTGGGTCCTTTCATAAAGCCTCGACATCTGTCATAATTGCACACTGCCAGACATTGTGGTTTCAAACCTTCACGGTCATCACACCACTCCACACTGCATTGGATAAAGGCACTTACTGTGATTCGAGTGGTGGAAATCCAACTCATTGGTTGAAGCCAGAGGTCGCAAACGGGTTTTGATTCCGTACCCGTACCCGGCCGCACCAGGGTCGCAAATGGGTACGCGTACCCGGCCGGGTACGGGTACCCGTTCGCTACCCGTACCCTACCCGAAATGAGTGACAAACGGTTACTCACCAGTGACTCACGGCCTATCCGTACCCGTACCCGGCCGCACCAGGGTCGCAAACGGCTACCCGTACCCGGCTGGGTACGGGTAACCGGGTATCGGGTACCCGGTTGCGACCTCTGGTTGAAGCTCGTTCACCGTTCGTTTTCTTTCCCGCCGTTGTCTAAGACCTTGTCTTAAAGTCCCGGACTCTCCCAATCTTAGTTCAGTAAATCCCCCCAAAATTAAGAGACTGCGTTGACAGTGACGCTTAAGCATAAATGGATGTTTAAACTCGCCACGGTTGCTATTAGCCAATATACAATAGGCTAACGTTTCGAGTAACTGTCCTTGATAACAAAATAACAGCATGTAGGTTGAACAACAGTTGCCAAACGTGATCATATTTAGTCGTTCTTGTTGTTGTGCCGCGTTTAAATGACTCGATGCAGATGTTGCTTAATGTACAACGCACGCCCAATGCTCACAGTGAGTGGGGGGTGCAGTTGCCCCCCCCCCCCCCAGCTTTTAGACAGGATGACAAACCACATGAGGTGCCCCCCCCCCAATATACTATTGAATGCCCCCCCCCTGCCAACTCGATTTGCTACTCAACATTGCCCCCACCATAGCCACAGGTCCTTCTAACTTCGACATTCTTCGAATGTGTTTCAAATAAGTAATATTTGAAAAACTTTTTTAAAAACACGCTTTAATGAAATGTACCGTACTCGTAATGGAAGAACCCCACGACTCTATGAAGTGGCCCCGAAGCTTGCCATAACGTAAGAGACCGTGGTGATTTACAGCCAACATTAGTTGAGCGTGGACAATTAGACCCAAGCCGAAACATAACATATACCAAATAATGTTTTAAAATATTTTGTTTTTATTGTCATCAGTATGACATAAGTATACCACGTTTGCAGTCGATACCACATTGGGAAGTGGGTTAAAATTGAGTTACAAGATTTGAGGATACAACAACAACAGACAGTGAGTTAAAAGAAATCGTGTAATTTTTTAAAAAAATGCGTGTAATAAAAACGTGTCGCCCCGTCCTCCTCCGTGCTACGTTTTCACAAACCATTTGTTCAAAGTGCTCTATTGGTCAGCAAAACAAACAAACAATAAGTATAACCCGTAAAAACTAAGTTTTTCACTCTAAATCCTTTATATGCGTGGCGGCTAGAGTCCTCTCGTCCTCTGGCTTGAGATGGCTGCCACCTATGGGTCAGATGATTGTCTGCCAGTATTAAGCAATTGGTAATTAAATATTTAATTTGTTTTCCCTAAACAGTGTAAAATTTTGGAGAAAAAAAATTCACGAACATTAATTGTCTCGCACAACGAGTCTGTGTGCAAAATGTCAGCTCGATTGGATCACGGGAAGTGGGTTAAAAAACGACAGAAAGATTTGCACGGTCGTAAGCAAGCAAGCACGCAAGCACGCAAGCAAGCAAGCAAGCGAACTTAATATAAAGGATTTAAAAATGGTCTTCTGGGCCGTTGCAGAACTGAGCGTCGTGGCTTTTGACCTCGATTTGCGAGTCCAGTCAAACGTCTTCAGGATCGGCGGGCATCTCCGCCGTGTAGCGATACGCGTAGCCGTACGGCCGAAGTCGATGCACCAGGTACTCGAGAACGTGCATGTAGCTCGGCCTCACGTAGTGGAAGGACACGGAGTAGTCCGAGCAGCACTGGGGACCTCTCACGGCCCGGTGGTAGCTGTACCTCCAGTACCAAGAGCTGTTGGAGATGAAGTCACGCACCAGGAGCTTTTCGGGCACAAACGGGTGGAAGGTCTCGCGGCCGACAGAGTCCCTCGAGTCGCCGAAAGCCACGCCGACCTTCTCCAAGCAGACCCCGACGGCCACATCCTCGGCCAGGCTGACCTGCTCGCACCGACCCGACCCGAAGCCGTCGGCAGCCAGAACGAGAGCGGCCCTGCTGAGCACGTACCCGGCGCCACCGCTCATGAAGCTCCTGTTGTGCCGATCCTTGAAGCGACAGCCAAAGTAGACGGGTCTTCGGGCCGAGTGAGCGCTCAGCAAGAGGCGGAGGTTGTCCACCAGCACGTACGTGTCGTCGTCCGCCTTCAAGAACCAGTCGGCGTCGTCGACGTGATGCTCGCGAAGGTAGAGGATTGCCCTGGTCGTCTTCCAGTAGAGGTGCTGACGCCCTTCCTCGGTGCCGAGACCCACGGCGGGGAACTCCGCGTCGTCGACGGAGCTCAGGAAGAGCACGCGGTCGCAGGCGCGTGTCCAAGTGTCGCGCTGATGTCGCGCTCTGTTCTCGACATTTTGGGGGCATGTCACGACCCAGCAGAGGACGCGGACGCGCGCGCGGAGCTCCCGCAGAGCGTCGTGTCGCGCCGGCTCACGGGGAGTCACGGCCACGTCGAGGTTCGTGGGAGCCAGCAGGAAGATGTAGGTCAGGCAGAAGCCGACGTTCACGCCGAGGAGAAGCGCCAGCGAGGGGGGGCGGCGAGGTCCGATCATGGCACGCGGCTGAGAGGTTCTGGCGCGGGTCGTCAACGCAGAGCGTCACCATCGCTGCAGTTCGCGTTGGCGTCGTCGAGTGCTCGCGGTTTTCCCCCGTGATGATCGCACTCACGGATACGCCTCCGCGCTTGCGTGTGTGTTTGTGTGTGTTGGGAGTATTTTTTTTAAAATCTAGATTGAGTATTTGTTTTCTAGTTCTATTTTAATCGCGGAATGCTCAGCACAAAGCCGCCAAGCGGCCAGCAATCAACGGCGCTATCGAAGAGTGCAGTTGATCTTCTTGGTTCTTTCGGTAAAGTCACGTAGAAGGGAAATAATAAAATGTGTTTTATTTTTATTATTTTATTATTTCCCTTCTACGCGACTTTACCGAAAGAACCAAGAAGATGAATCCCTGCAGTCACGACAGCTTTAAATCGAAAGTGTAATTGATGCGAGTTAATAACATTTCTTGAATTGAGAAAAGTCTCTAAATAACTTTTGGTGGGAGGTGTGGGGGGGGAGAGGCGACGAACAGCAGGAGACTTCAAAGTGTGAGCAGTGCGAAGAGCGAGTAGCCGTGTGTGTCTGTCACGCGGCTTTTTGACGAACGAGAATTAAAAAAAAACCTCTGCTGCGTAGACTCGTCTCTGGGCTTCATGGTCACAAACCCCACCACCAACCCAGAACAATCGCTGCAAACCCCTGCAGGGGTTGATGGCTTTAAGTGGCCTCGAGGAATGCAGCGGTACCTGCTGGCCTGACACGCATCAACCAGTTAGAATTCATCACGAGTACAGTGTGTCCTCAAAATAACGTGGGCGGATGTATGTCGGGAGAGAGGGTTGCTGGGATCCCTACACTCACGTCTCTATTTTTCAATGATAGAATGTCACGATTCCGAACGTCAAACTGAACAGCGCGCAAAGCAATAAAGACATTTGCTTTTATCCGCAACGCAAGCCACAATAAGCGTCTCGTGCCAGGCAAGGCTCCCAGTTTTAGTTCGGTTATTCTACGGAAACACTACCGCAGCATTGGATTATTATTTTCATTTTTGGCTCGTGATATTTGGTGTACGTGTGCTGAACTTATTTTGCACCGTGCGGATTTCGTTGTGGGGTTTTTTGTTGTTGTTGTATGTAACCTTCATTCGATATTGATGTGACACTATGCATTTACAATACATTGATATAACGTTCAAATAAATCCGTGCATTTTTATTTTTTGCCACAGTTACTGGGCTCAGCCCAATGGCGAAAACGTCAAGCAGCCAAATAACATTACAAGCTGGAAATTGGCACCCTGAATTAGCACGGTGTTTCGAGGACACACCATTATACGTACAGAACGCGTGAAGGTAACGATCCATAGGGCAGTCATTAACCCAGTCCGCACGCAACGTTGGGTCAACGTTGCACTTTTCCTGGGCGAGGAGTGGAATTGCCGGAGACCTCTATTATTCGTTCGTTTCTCAGTCCGCTTGTCCTGGTGAGGGTCGCGGTTGCAGCGTGTTGAGTAGTGGCGGTCCAGACCTCCTTTTGCCCTGGTGACAGACTCTAGCTCGCCATTACTATACACTATTACACAGTACATTACTATACACTACACTGCTATACACAGACTCGAGCTCTTCCTGGGGAATTTCTAGGCGTTCCCAGGCCAGCCGAGCGACGTCGTTCCGCCCGGCGTGTCCCGTGCCGGCCCCGGGGTCTTCGCTCAGACCTCGATTGTGTGTTTTTAAATCCTTTATATTAAGTTCACTTGCTTGCACGCTTACGACCGTGCAAATCTTTCGGTCGTGTTTTAACCCACTTCCCGTGATCCAATCGAGCTGACATTTTGCACACAGACTCGTTGTGCGTGACAATTTATTTTCGTGAAATTTTTTTTCCAAAATTTTACACTTTTTAGGATTTTTTGTTATATTTAATTACCAATTGCTTAATGGTGGCAGGCAATCATCTGACCCATAGGTGGCAGCCATCTCAAGCCAGAGGACGAGATGACTCTAGCCGCCACGCATATAAAGGATTTATAGTGAAAAACTTTGTTTTTACGGGTAAATTTTTTTTTAGTTAATAGCTACGTCGCCAACACTATTTGCTTTTGCAGAAATTTCAAGAAACACGGAACTGAAATTTCCATGAAAATTCCACGAAAAGTAGCCCGTGCTTGGCCAAAGGCGCGTGCATGCTGTAGTGTAAAGGCAACATCAGCCAAATGGTGAAGGTTTTGACATTTAATTTCACCTGCAATATTTCACCACTCTCAGACACATCTTTCACGAGAAACCCACGGGGCGATTCAACTGAGAATGACATCGTAGGGCGGAAAAAAAACCTAAATGTTCGTTCCACTTCAGTACGGGTCAACACCCACTGACGACGAGACAGATCTCCATGTAGCCCTCAACATGCTGTTGTGGCAAGTGTCCTTAGAGAGTGGATCTATTCGGGTAAGAACGGTACACGAGGGCAGTGGTGTTGGTTAGACCACGCCTGACCGACTTTGATGTTTACTTGATGCTGATGTTTTTACAAATCTACACCAGGGTATTGATTTAAGGCTGAGTCGTATGCGCGTATGTTGAACTTCTTTCGCACCGTACATAGCCAAACGTGCTAAACGGGGGTGCGGGGGATGGAGATCAAACTGATACACAAAAGGCAGCTTTAAAGAAATGAGTCATTCTAATGGAGGCACAGGACCGCGTTTGTTTTCACTCGCTAATGATGTTAGCCATGGTCAGGAATCGAACTCGTGATTCACTGGGTTTGTAGCGCAGCGCGCTAACCACTACGAGACCCCTCCACACACCGTGACAAAGACAAAGATCCCCGTATATAGCCTGTTGGAGGAAATGCTGTTGGTGATCACCACCTATTAATGTCCATTTCACACTGGGACGGACACACAAACACGCACATGAGATCCATCTGATGTACTGTTAGGATGCGCAAAATGCTCACTGGGGATCAACTATTAAGCCCGCATGAACTCAGAAATCACGCAGCTGGGGTGAACGTCTCATCAGCTGCATGCCTCGTGTGACTCTTGCTATGCTCTCACGGGGAAAAAATCATGCTATGCATGCAAAACGAAGCGTTGGAAGGTTATTACAATGTCATTGCTTCTTTTACGAAGTATACATACATATTATATAACACGTAGGTTTTGCGAATAATATTACGATTCATAATTATGGCTTGCTCTTCAACATAACGCTGTGTTGAAGTGGTAATACATTGGTACGTTTGTTCACGTGGCAACTGTATAATAATTGACACTTCTAAAACGCCTTTTACCTGGAGATCACATGGCGCTGTACAAAACACACGCAGTCGGGTGGAGAGTGGTGTACGACACACATTTTTTTCTAGATTTGAAGCTTTCGTGACTGCAAGGATTCAAATTCTTAGGTTTTTCGGTAAAGTCACGTAGGTAAAAAATTAAAATTAATAAAAGTAAAATAAAAATAAAATAAAAATCACGACGTTTCGGAGGCAACACGAGCTTCCGTCTTCAGGTGGAACCGTCACAGCACGATAGCTGCGACGGTTCCACCTGAAGACGGAAGCTCGTGTTGCCTCCGAAACGTCGTGATTTTTATTTTATTCTTATTTTACTTTTATTAATTTTAATTTTTTTACCTACGTGACTTTACCGAAAAAACCTAAGGACACACATTTTTCTTTTGTGATCTAACCCAAAAATCCATCATAAATTACTTTTATTCACAGCTCTTTGTTAGTCCACTCCTGGATCTTGGGGGTCGTTTGACCATACTTTACCACGCCGGTCTGAGTGGGTTGACGAAGGGGGCAGAGAGGGGAGGGAGTCATAGACCGATTCAGACATCACTCGCCACTGATGTTAGCCGTGGCCTGGAATCGAACTCGGATTATCAGGCTCATAAAGGAGCGCAATAACCGCTGTGCTACCGCTCACCACCACTGCAAATATATATATACTGTCATTATCGGCCATAAAACAGGTTTTTTTTGGGTTAGATCGTGTAAATATATAAATGTGTCAGTTTAACACGTAGGCTTTCGCGACCAATACTATTCATAATCAACGTTTTTGGGTTTAGATCGCGTTATTTATACATGTGTCGTAACCCTCCACCACCCGACACGACCAATCAGTAAAAAAGTGTCACGTTGACAAAAGACAAATAGTTCACTGCTTTAGCCCACCGGTGTGTTGAAGCGTGAAACCACAACATTTGCAACATTTACATTTTGTCTTTTGTCAACGTGACACTTTTTTACTGATTGGCCGTGTCGGGTGGTGGAGGGTTACGACACATTTATAAATAACGCGATCTAAACCCAAAAACGTTGATTATGAATATAAATGTGTCGTTAAACCCGCCACCACCCGACACAACCAATTAGTAAGGTTTGTTCACGTAAACAGAACGTGCCAATTTGTTACAAGTACAGCACACCCGTGTGTTGCAGAGCAAAGCTACAACATTTACAATCTGAGTACGACGTTTCGCCAGTAATTACAACTAGCTCCATCAGGCGACAGCCATATTTGTGGAGAAATCCTCGTGTTTCGTTCCTTAAATAGAGGGGTAGATGTGATGGCATCGCTTGTGAGCTCTTCTAACCCAAAAAAAACTTGTATTATGGATGACATTATCGGCCAGTTTGTAAATCGTACCCTTACATTTGTATTATTATTATTTGTTTCACCAGTAAGCTCATGTACAGGTGCTAGGTGGATTATTAACATCGCATGATCGCGACGCATTGCTACGGCTGAGTGAGACCATCCAACGGTTGACTGGCCAAGGCTTCTTGTGATGATGATCATTCGTAACGTCTGTGGTTAGACATAGAGAGCAACAATTGGCAGATCTACCCGGCTGCATGCGAGATACACGCCGTACAGTGTATATATACACACACACACACCTGTCAGATTATTCTAATGAAAAATGAAATATCTTTCGAATTATTGTTGCAGTGGCGCTGTGCGGACGCCCTCCTCCACTCGACAGTGGAGGAGGGCGGCGAGGTAGGGGGGGATACTTTCCAGAGCTGAGCCCCGGGCAGCTCCGGCTGAAATTAAACCCCCAGGGTGACCTAATATCCCCCAAATTACAGTTCGCTGGAGCCCATAGAGACGCGCTACGTCTGAAATCTCACGGATTAAGTTCGTCGCAGACGGGAGAGAAATCGTATTCGAACGTAAAATCAGCTCGATGGAATAACGCCCAGTGCGCATGCACAGCCCTTTTGTCAATCCACTGCTGGATGAGAGCACCCCCCCCCCCCCAACGAAATCCATAGCTCGTGCGGTATTACAGTATTTGACTATAAG